AAAAAAAAAAGAAAGAAATTACCACTTGATGAGTTTTAGGATAATACCAAAGATTAACCATAATAATGTGAAAAAGTGATTAAAATATTTCTCTTCTTCATGTAATGGGCTTATTCTTTTAAATCAATTATTAAAATTTCACAGTTTAAATTTCTAATACAGTAAATATTACAGACTCAGCTCAGATAAACGTTCTTTAGGTTCTTCAATACTTTTTAAGTATGTTAAGTGGTTCCCACTTCAGAATGCTGCCATAAAATGTTATCCCAATTGCTGAGAACTGCAAATAATTAAATTTTATCTCATTGCCAATGTAAGTATATAATGGGGACATATATGGAAAGATCTTTCCTGAGCTTGACTTGTGTGACTCCATTTTAGAATTTTAAAATGCTGGCCAGGCCTCTCACCTCCCTGAAGCATGTAACCTCTTTCTTACCCATGCCCGTCATTGACCCAACACCTGCTTTGCAGTGAATTATTTCCCAAATGTGAACATCCTCCTATTCTCAGAATGTGCCCTCCGCCATTATCCCATTCCACCCTGTCTCACAAAGTTAGAAAGGTTACGTGCTTATCTTAGCTTCTGTAAACTGCTTGCTGAAAGAAATGTAATACCCTCAATCCTTCCCACTTGCCAAACGGAATGCGACTTTTGTCTTTATAAACCTTGCTCAATGTTTTTTCAAGGCCTGGGGAATTTTAGAGTGAGACTTGAGTCCTCCTGATGGCTGCCAGCTAGAAAAAAGACTGCCAGTTTGGACATAAAAAGCATTATAGTCATTAATTTCTCATAACATGCAACATATAAAATGTGAAATCTATAGGAGAAAAACATGCATGTTTTTCCCCTCTGTTTTAACATGCATCATGTTAACATGGTTAATATCATCAGAACATTTCATTTTTTTATAGAACTTTATTTCTTATAAGGAACAAACCGTAAGGCACATTTTGCTTTCAGAGTAACACTTAAAAATGAGGCTGGATCACTGCTCTCAAGGGAGCTAGTTCTGTTTTGAGACAATTCTTCAGCCAGTCAGGCCTCACAGATTCCAGGTTTATTTATAATATGTAAACTTCCTTTTAAAAAAATTTAATAAATCATTTTATTGGGGGTTTGTACAGCTCTTATAACAATCCATACATCAATTGTATCGAGTACATTTGTACATATGTTGATGTTAGGTAGCTAGCATAGGGACTGGGGTGTCCATTACACATGTTCAGAGGTTCGAGCTTCTGGCCAGGAAGGGATGGTACACTTAGGTGGGCGTTACACCTGGATTGGCCCATCTAAGCCAGGTGAATTTGATTCAGCCAATGGGGTCGACGAGTATTGTTGACCACGCCTCCCAACGGGGCCCCTGAAAAGGCCAGAGGTTTTGCTCTGGGCTTTTTATTTCCCACTGGCTGCTAGACAAAGTAGCACAGCCGGACTGCAGTCTGGAGCGGCCAGGCTGCAGTTCCGCAACTGTGCCTCCGACTCTCTGTCTGGCTTGTGTTCCATTTACTGGAGAACCTGAAAGTGCTACTATTCTCTATAAACTCACTGGGATCACTAACCAGGCTTCGGAGTAAATTCTTTCTCACGCGGAGCCAAGGACCGAGGTATATCACTCCCCAGAGAGATGTAACATTGCCATCATCATTTCCAAAACATTTCCTTTCTACTTGAGCCCTTGGTATCAGCTCCTGTTTTTTTCCCTCCCTCCTCCATCCCCCTACCCTCGTGAACCCTTGATAATTTATAAATTCTTTTTATTTTCATATTTTACACTGTGTGTCTCCCTTCACCCACGTTTAAACTTTCTTTCCTTTAGTAAATGTTCTTTTCTGCTAGTAAATACCGTTTGTATGCTTGTAAGGAAGCTTGTTTAACCTAATCGTTGAAGGTGATCCAGGATTAGGGTGGTGTGGGTCAGCCTTTGGCCACTCCTTCCTTTGTACTACAAAAAGACTGGAGTCACAAAATCCTTTGGACCAAGGAAGAAATGGTCTATATTCAGTGATAAAAGTATAAACTATATTTTATAACACACAGACTATAGTATATCAAGGGTTTTATAGAGTATTACAGATGGAACAATACAGTAATTCCATAAATACTCTAGAGATTACAAGTGTGTAGCTCTATTTGAACAATTTTCTGAACATAGTAATTTGAGAGTCTACTGAGTGAACAAAAAATCCTTAAAGTAGGAAATGGTTAAGGCAAGGCTCTTAATATTATGGATTAGCTTAGATTTTTAAAATATATACTCAGGGGCTATACCTGGATAAATCATATACTTTAAGTATTTTGCTTCTATAGAAAAGAAAACCAGTCATCTTTAATTGATCACAGGCATGGGAATGGCTTTTGTGATTGAAGTTTATATGGCTGTTGTTATTTTAATGATTTAGTTTTAAGATTAAAATGCTTATAAGTATATTCTGACATCTAAAAACAATATTTTAACTAGTGTGTTAAAGAAGGATATCTCTTATGCTACAACCTTAACAGCAAGTTTATTTTTGCCTTCTTTCACTCATTGTCACCCAGTTGATGTGACTCACAGTGGGACAGTAGAACTGTCCATCTTTGTGCAAGTAAAACGCCTCGTCTCTCTCCTTTGAGAGTGTCCCAATGTTGATCCTGCAGTTAGTTAGCAGCCACTCCTAACACAAGATTTTAATGGGAAAAATAACACAATATGTTCTAATTGTCTTGATGAACTTGTCACTAAAGACTCCATTTCAGTTTTACTTTTCTCCCTTTTTCCCCTTTTAGCCACTTAGACCACTATTTAGGTTTGAGGGATAAGGAAATAAGAAATCTGGAGGGCGTTTGTTTTCTTTAATCCTTCTAAAACTGGTCAGGGAGGGATACCTGTCTTACTTCTGAATAAGAAACTTAGTAATGCCATAACTTTCTAGTCATTCCTATTCTTGCAGGCTCGCCCACTTCTTAAGCTGCAATATATAGACTCTTTCTCTTGAGGGTCTACCTATGCCCCATCTCTTGAGGATTAACACTTACCGGTATTAAATCCTAACCATGTATGAGGCACCACATAGTTATTACATAATCATCACGAGTAAGCCATGATAGTGTACTTCCATTATATCCCATTATAGCCAATTTAAAGATGAGGAAACTGAATAAGGTCACACAGTTTGGAAAAAATGAAGCCACGTAGGCTGGCAGACAAACCTGTTATCAGAGGACATCCGTGGAAAAGCAATATACATATCTGAGGGCAGCAAGTAAGGATAGCTTCCACAGCCTCATCAGTCAGATTCACGCAATGTCCCATGTGAATCTGCTGTTTTAAAAAAGACACACACAAAAAGTCAATGACAATAGTATGAAACAGTTTTTAAAATACTGTGATACAAAAGGATCAAATACCTACATGTAAGGAAACATCCATGGGTATATGTCAAAAGTTAAGAAAATATACACACTGAGTATCTGCAATGCTTTTTGTAATTATAATTCAATAAAGCTGTTTTAAAGAAAAAAAGAATGTAACACCATAGAAATGATCTATTAAATCTGTAGCAATTCGGAAGTTATAGTAGCTTTAATAATTAAATACCTTGCCATTTTATAAAATAATATGGCAATATCTAGTAAAACTGAAGGTGAGTATATCCTAGAACCCAGAAATTCCAATTATAGATGCCCTCTGTAGAGAAACTCTTATGCATTATATATACACAAGGAAACAATTTATAAGTATGCCCATTGTAATATTATGTCCAACAGTAAACAGTGAAAAGTTAGTAAATAAACGATGATTTATTAATGTAACGAGATAAAACTGTGAAAATGTACTTAATATCCTACCCAGTAATTGCACTCTTTTATAGTAATGTAAGAAAAATTAAAGCATATATTTATATAAGACTTGCATGCAAATTTCCATGGTACTATTCAGAACAGTCCCAAATTAGAACTCAAATGTCCATGAAATGGTGAATGCGTAATCAAATGGCATCATATACATACTAAGGAACATTAGTTAGCAAAATAAGAAAGGAAAAGAAGCAAAACTAAAAGGTTACATGTAATTCCATTTATATAAGATACTAGAAAAGGCAATATTAAAATAATGGAAAATAAATCAATAATGGCTTCACTGAATGTCAGGAGAGTTATCTACTCTAAAATCCAAACCAAAATAGGTCCCCCACCCCAACTCTCATCTAGTCAGCTTGTATTCTTAGTGACCGCCTAGGAGAGAGTAGAACTGTCTGTGAATTTCTGAGACTGTAAATCTTTAGGAACAGAAACTCTCCTCCTTCTCCCACGGAGGAGTTAGTGCTTTCCACCTGGTGAGCTTGTGGTGAGCAGCCCAGTGCATAACTCACACCACTATAAAGAGACAGGATACCACTTTGTAGGGTGATCAAAAGGTTCTATGTTTTATTTTTTCATCTGGAAAATGTTCTATATTTTAATTGTGGTAATGGTTACTTGACTGTATAACAATTACCCAAACTGATCACACAGCACATTTAAAATGCGTGAATTTTATTATAGGTAAATTATGCCTCAATAAAGCTTGAAAAAATTTAAAATAATTATGAATTAAAAATTGTAAAAGAATACACAGACTATGAAACTACTGCGCAAATTTAAAAACATACAAAACAATATTTTCTCTTGATCATGGATCCACATATAGAAAAAGTATCTAGGCATGCAGGAAAGATACATATGAGGGGTACCAACCCCCCCCCCCTCTGAATTCCACTGGGTGGGGTGGAGCTTTCAAAGTACACATTTTTTCCCTCCAGGCAAGCAACTGGCTCTGAGTGAGTGCACGCAGTGGCATAGCCTGGGTAGGTTCTCTCTATCCACAGTTAATTTTTTTATAAAAGCATTTTTGCTTGAATCTTGTTTTTTTTGTGATGGCTAATTTAAGAGAACAGCACGTGGCTGTGAAATTTTGTTTCCTGCTTGGGGAAAAACGCCACAGAAACTGTTGTGATGTTGAACACAGCTTACAAGGACAGAGCTATGGGAAAAATTCAAGTGTACGTGAGTGGTTTTCGCATTTCCAAAAAGGTGAAATGTCCACTGATGACAAACATTCTGACGGACAAAGATATTGACTGGTAGTGCATTTGGAGTTCATTCCACCAGGTCAGACTGTTAATTAAGCTTTCTATTTAGTGGTTCTCAAAAGATTGCTAACTGTGTGACAAGAAAGGCCTGACTTGTGGTATCCTAGGGACTGGTTTTAGCATCATGTGAGTGCACCTGCTCACACAGCCATCTCAGTGTGCAGGTTGGGGCATAAAACAGCATGCCTCTCTTGCCCTACGCACCTTACTCACCTGACCTTGCTCCATAGGACTTCTTTTTGTTTCTGAGAATGAACAGGGACACGAAAGGACAGCAATTTGATGACAGAAAAGGTGAAGAAGAAAATGAGGGAGGTTCTCTCAGGCATCCAAGCAGATGAGTTTGAAAAATGTTTCCAGGGATGGAATAGATTTGACAAATATATTAAGTGTAATGGACAGTCCTTTGAAGGTGATAAGGTTGTTTTGTTTAAAAACCAAGAAAAAAAAATTGGGGGGGCTTACTCCCTCATAGTTATCTTTTGGACATCAGCTATCTTTGAAGAAAGACATGGATGGCTTTAGATGTAACTTTTAATTTTAAAATAAATGGAAATAAACACAGAAAATGTTAACACAAATGATGGGTATACAGGTCTCTGCTGATTACGTTCTATGATTTCCTGTATGTTTTGAAATAAGTATGCTTTGTTTGCTGTACTAATTTTGAAATTAGTTTAAAATTGAGGAAAATATATTCTACAAGTAATTATAATGATATAACAACAAAGATAGTACCAATGGATCCAAACAACAAAGGAATGAGACCTTCGTGTGTTGTTCTGATCTACTGGTACTACTATCTGTTGGCTTTGTTCTTTTTATCTATTGACTTTAAAACCTCAGTGACTCAATTTTCTTTTTTTTTTTTTTTGCCTCCCCGTTGGGGAATCGAACCCTGGTCTCCTGCATGACAGGCACGGATACTCAGCACTATGCTAACGAGGATGGCGACTCAATTTTCTTCAACTAGTTGAATTCTCCTGTCAGGGGAGACCAGCCCCTAACAATATATCACGGGTCCGTAGGTGCAATTGTACAGCTATAATCTATAAAGATTATAGTGAAGCCATAGAGAATGATAGAGATAGGAGAGAGTAAAATAAAGGAGTCAGACACATTTTAGGGTAGCATGCTCACTTCCCGGATGAATGGCCATGATCTCAGCAGCCAGGTCCGCTCTCTGCGTAGAGTATGGGCAGAGGAGAGGAGAGTGAGGGAGAGGGGAGGAGAGGAGCCCAGAGGGGAGACTTATTCTAACCAAGGCTTATATATCTTTCGGGGCATGCAAGCCCCCTGATTACAGGTAACGACCTATGTCACAGGAAGGGGTTGTACCGTAGGCAATACAGCAATAGGAGGGGATGATCTAGGATTATACACACTACAGGAAGAGGAGGGATTAGGGTACACATGTGACAAGATGGGCAGATCCTAGATTCAAGATGGCAGCCTAACCTTGATTGTCCATGAGCTGGTGGTTTGATTTATTCTGCCCCTCCAGGGAAAGGAATCCACTATCCTTAACGGCAGGGAGTGAGCCCCACCTAAGGTGGACCAGACAGTAGTCTGCTTGCTCTAGATGGCTGATGCCTTCAGGAAGATAACTTGACAACCATTTACCATTAGTTGCAAGCAGTATCCTAGGTCTGACATATATTTGGGGGAGACAAGCTGGGGAAAAGCCTTTTTTATATCCCACCTTCTCCTTTTCCTCAGGAGGCTTTTTCCAGTCCCTATTCACCCCAGCTAGAGTAGTCCAGTTGGGTCCAAGTTAGAGTTAAACAGAAAAACCCATGGAGTCAATTTCTACTCAAATTGGAGGCAACTTGAGAAACTAGAAATAACTATGCACTCCTTTCTCAAGAAAACTCCAGATCAACACATCCTGCTTCACTCAAACTTGCAAACCACAAAGTTTAGCCTCAATTCTGTAGTATCTAATCTTGTTTCCACCTATATATTTATTCTCCATCATCAGTCTTTAATGCAATTTAACATGGGAAAATGAAAATTAGTCTTGAGAGTCCAGAAGGAAAATTTATATGTTTATTATCCCTTTATCCTCCTAATATTGTCTGGAGAACTATAACCAAACTTAGCAAATATTAAAATCAATTTGGTTTGCAGACTTTTGGGTGTCTTTATTGAACATATGACACACCCAGCATATCAGGATTAGGTAAAACTGTCTCAGCTAAAATGTTGAAATAGCACAGGTTTCTTATTGATTGCACCAAACGATAGTTACATTAACAATAACAAAGTAAAACCAATAGCCTCTGAACCAGAAATAGTAGTCGAATACTGGCAAATTCCAGTGTAAAGCATAAAGATTAGTACCAAAATTCATTTACATAGCAATTATAGGAAAAGCAAAGAATCCCAAATGTAAACACACCCTAATCATAAAAGGAACTATGGAACATAATTGATGTTAACAAAGAAAAAAATTAACTATGGAACATTATTGATGTTAACAAAGAACTATGGAACATTATTGATGTTAAAAAAAAAAAGCTCAAACAAAAAGGAGCCAACTAAACCAAGAAGTCCATATTATCTACAGAGGATAATGTAAGCCTAAATGTAATTTGGAACATCCAGTGTAGATCTTTGCCTTTTTGGGTCGATATTGGACAAAGCACATTTTATTTATTTATTTTTGAATCATTTTATTAGGGGCTCATGCAACTGTTATCACAATCCATACATACATCAATTGTGTAAAGCACGTTCGTAC